GAATATCACTCGGAAGTGACTACCATTAAAAATTACAAGTGCTTGGAAAGAACGACTTGGTCTTACCTTATTCATCACTATGAAGAGTATTCTACTGATACCAGATGAGTGGTTAGAACGACGTGCTGAGGAGTTAAACTATTGGTTGGCCTAGTTTCTCCTCCAGACAACCATATTGGGAGATGTTCTTATGCGCGTACATACAGTATCCTGTATCCAGTACAGCCTATGTACTTATCTCCACAATAGAAAGTGAAGTATACAATTGGTGGATGGTGGCTAGCAGTAGAATCCAGGATGCCCGGACATCGTCGAAGCATCTGCACAAGAAGCCGACATGTCAACCTGAGACCGAGCACTTCGGTCCAATCAATCGACGGGAAATTCAAAAATTCAATTCAATAAGAAAGTGAAGTAATCTATGCACTTATATGTTATTAACAGTGGAGCAGATTCTGACAAAATGCAGAGTCTTCTAAACACCTTGAGCTACAATCTACGAATGTTTGGCATGCGATTCGCTCCCGCCAAATGCAAGATGATGTTACAGGACTGAACTACACTGACTCCTAGTTTAGAAATAGGGAGTGAAGTGGTAGAGCACGTTGACCGCCTCACTTATTTGGAAAGTACCATCAGCCAGTGCCAACGTCTTGATCGCTGACGAAATCCCAGCACGGATACAGAGGGCTAGTTTCGCATATGCCAGTTTACGCCGTCTCTGGCGTAGACGTGACATCCGACTATCGACCAAAGGGCTTGTGTACTGCTCAGCAGTCTGCTCCATCCTCCTTTATGGCTGGATGTGAAACCTGGCCACTGACAGTGGAAGACATGAAAAGGCTGGCTGTCTTTGATCATAGGTGCCTGCGTTCTATCTCCCGCGTGAAGTGGCATAATAAGGTGAGCAATATTGAGGTTAGGCATCGAGTGCTAGGTAAGGAGGGGGAAATCAAACGACGAGGCTGTGAAGTTACATCGATTGAGATGGTTAGGACATGTGTTATGTATGCCTGGTCATTGCCTTCCTCGACGGGCAATGTTAGCTGACATAGGGTCAAGCTGGAAAAGAGCTAGTGGTAGTCAAGCCAAAACATGGCACCAGTCAATGAAATCCACAACAGTCAGTTTAAGCCACTTATGAAGGTGAAGACTGGCTTCCTGATTGGGGTCCTTGGGACGGTAAAAACCAGTGGTGATATGGCTGAAAATCGTTCTCAATGACTGGCGCAGATGCATCCACTCCTTGTGACTTATGATTTCCAATTAAACTATATTGTTCTTCGTTATTACTATTCCTTCGTCTCACATCTCTGTTTACTGTCTGTATTATGCACTTCTTCTTTCTTCTGTTGCTTTGTGTGTTACGCGGAGTGTGGCGAACTGAGCTGCTGCACATCGATGCAAAGTTCCATGTAGAAAACAGACGGATAGACAGAATATCGGAGCATCCTCTTTGACGTTTTGGTGAATAAGAGGTTGTGTGGAGAATGTGAGTTATAAAGATGCGGTGAAGAATGTTTTTCGAACCACTGTCAATTCCACGTTTATAGCCAACATTTCTTTTGATACTTCTGTCACGTGTTTATTGATGAATGCTGGCGGATAACCATTCTGAATTGGAGTGCTACTCAAAGACTCTAATTCTCTAGTAAGTGTGTCTTCACTGCTAACGAGAGTGATTTAAACTAGGACGATAAAATCTCATGCATACACAGACTGGATGAAGCATACATCATTCATGTCTACCTTCGATTTCCTTTTGAGAGATTATAATTAAGTTCATCCTGAAGGCAGTGGTCATTTGGCCACTTTGGTAGCATTTTTGGTGGAAGTTTAAATCACCCAGCCGAATGCACCAAAATCACTCTGTCGCATACTGCTGACAGGTATTACCTTTGGTGAGCTATGGAACTGTCTGATTCTTTGACTAGTCAAGTACGATGAATACAACCTGACTAAATACTTTGATGATTTATGACTATTGAAGTGAATTAATAGTGGATTTTACCCACCCGCACCGAATCCTCGTTTAAAAATAGGGAGTAGAAATGTCTCAGCAAGTTGACCACTTCACTTATTTGAGAAACAGCGTCAGCCATAATCAACTAATTACTGAGGAAGACTCAGCTCGGATACAAAAGGCTCGTGAAGCATCTACCAAATTAAGTCCATTCTGACAAAGGCATGATATCTTGCCATCAATCAAAGTGCATGTGTACTGAGAAGCGGTTCTCTATGTCCTTCTTTGCAGACATGACACATGACTGTTGAAAGTGGAAGATACGATAAGACTAGCTATCTGTGACCATAGATTTTCGAGTCATATCTACCGTCATAAGAATTTACAATGTGGTGTGTAATATCGTGATTAAATGTAGAGTTTTTGGTAAAGAGGGAGAGTTGTGAAGCTACATCACACATGAGCAGCTGGAAAAGGCGTTACTCATGCCACTTCACAGCCTCCCTCGTTCCATAATACGAGCTGACATAGGAATAGGTGGGAAAACAGTTAGTGAGGCAAGCCTAAATAAAGAATCAATTCATGAAGTCTTCGGCAGTAGGTCTAAGGTATCACGGAGGTGTAGACTGCGTAATTGGGGTTCTCGCGATTCTAAGAAGAAATAGCTTCAGACCGCTGGCGATGTAGCGCAAACCTTTTCTCAATAACTTACATGCTTTCACTCAGTATATAATCTCCCACAACTCATGTTTTTCCAAGTCATTAAGATGTCTCCCGTACATATCTTTTTATTACAGTTCTTTTGAATTTCTCTTATTGTTTTCCCTAACTTTGTGTGCTATATGAAGTTTGGCATCTTGAACTACTCTAAAAATCGATGCTGAAACCCGGTAGCTCAGTAACCGAACCTGTATTTGTCTAAGTTACTTAGTGCAAAATTTTCCAGTTTTCGCTGAAGCCAATAGTAAGGTATGCTGTCTTAAGTTATACTACCTATCAAAAATAACCTTGGATATAACATTAACAGTTGTCTTCGTTCAATACTCAAGATCAGATGGCCGGCCAGAAAAGATCAGCAACAGGGATCTCTGGCAATGAGTGAACCAACCAGGAACAGATTGTGCAACAAATAGGCAGGAAGAAATGGAGATGGATTGGCTGGCCATACTCTGAGAAAACCATCAAGTGACATCACTAGACAAGCCATCACTCGAGTGTAACCCGAAAGGGAAGCGTCCAGTTGGTCGTCAGTGTGAGGGTGACTTGGAGGAGGTCATATGAAGAGAAGATGAAAGCATGTGGGCAGACTTGGAGCAGGGTGAAAAAGTTGGCAGAAAGCCAGACGCTATGGAGACGCGCGGCTGAAGCCCTATGTTCCTCTAGGAATTAAAGGAAATAATAATACAATAATAACATATATAGTGCGCAGTAGCAACATCTCTCCCTGTATATCAGTTAAAGCGGGTGGCGGTAGTCAGGATCCCACATTCAACGGAGAAAGTGGCTTTAGCGGTTGATATCTAAAGTATCATAAGTTGAATTAAGCTAAAATTCACACCACATCTTACAAATTACGTTGAAAATGTTATCTAAATGTTTATATACAAACATGAATATACTCTATCCAACCATCCATAAAATAAATTACAACAGTGAAAATAAATTGCACGAATTGTTGTAAGTCTTCTGAGCTCAAGAACTTGCCATCAAGAGATACAGTATGTTTCACTTCATATCAATGGATGCAGACAATGATAGACACTCATTTGACTGGAAATTGTAAACATATTAAACCGTGGAAAAATCCTTGAAATCCTAGACTATTTTTCAATCACCAGACACATATATCAAATTCATCAACTATTAAAGAATAATCCACCTAACAAAAACAGTCAAATTCTGCGTCAATAAAACGATTGATATCAATGCAAATTAACAACCTATCATAATCATGGTCATCAGGAAAGATAATTATATTATTTGTGGAAAATTCAAATATGTCCATTTCATCTAGAAGTTTGAATCGAAGATTTACTCTAAATAAGCTAACAAAGCTTTGCAATTAAATCATTCAGCTCAGAGAGTACAATTACATGAAACGTCAAAAGAGGTTGATATTAACATAAAACTTGGGCATTGTGGTAGAGTATAACTCCATTACGGATAAGATTTTATTTTGATAAATCACATAGTACTATACAGTAATATTAAATGATGATGTTTCGAGCACAAACTATTACCAGTCATTATCATATCAAGTTACTCACAGAGCTTTCTCTTTCATTTATATACATGTGTGGAATTGATTAGATATTTGAATAAAAATCACTATAGGATAATATTCATTCAGAAATATCAAATATCTAATTAATTTTACTCATTTATATAAATGAAGGAAAACGTTGTTTGGGTAACTTGATATGATTATGACTGGTAATAGTTTGTGCTCGAAACATCATCAGTTAATATTGCTGTATAACACTGTGTGATTTACCAAAATAAAATCTTATCCGTAATGGAGTTAAAAATGGTTGACCCCACATCCTTTCTTTCTTCAATACTCACTACCTCATTAAAGCTTAACGAATTTTTTAAATCTCATGATAGCTTTAATATATTCATTCTATTTCCTGTACTTTTTACTTTTGCTTACTCTTTCTCTTTTCCTCCATCTCTCCACTGAAGGGTTATCTCGGTGGCACAGCGGTTAGGACGCTCGCCGACCATGCACATGATCTGGGATTCGATCCCAGGCCGGTGCACACTCAATATCAGTGGTCGACCGGCTAAATTTGGCCTACCGATATCACATGCTGAAAATTTCATACTTGTATCAAAAATACCGTGTGGAATCAAGCTACAAATAAAATACAAAATAAATCTCGATAGATGAGTAAAACAAAACAATAAATAAAACGGATTCATTTCTGTAAACTTTTCCACCTCAATTCACTTAGAAATCTAATTCTATCTACATTAATTTGTTTACTGTTTTTACTAATTATAAACGTAAAGATAGAAAGTAAGCAAAATTTACCTTATCAGTAGATGTGAGCAGATTCATTTCACAATCGATAAGATAATCAACTATGAGTGATAATCCCAACTTTGCAGCCAAATGAAGGGGTGTTTCACCTTCCTATGTGAAAAAATAAATAAATAGGCAACTGAAAAATTAATGTTGACAAAATGAGATAAAAGAATGCAAAACAAGTTGCTGTTAACTAGTGTTTATGTCGACAGCTCAGGGGTAGAGCGCTTGCTTTACATGCGAGAGTCTCGGCACCTTCACGAGGAGACGAAAGTATGTCGATATTGTCAACCGTAACAGTAATTTTAAATGACGTTTGGAGTTACATTTGTTTTAAGGTGCACCTCATTCATGTTTTATGCAAGATGCACTGATGAATACAAACAACTGTAAAGCCTAAATTTTCAAGTTGTAGACCAGTCGTCAGTGAACAAGAAAGATTTGTAGGCTGTTTAGTGTTGTATAGGCATATATCTTTTCAGAGGTCTCACTACTATTCAGCACTGTAAATGAATTCATATTACCCTCATAATCTATCATTTATTTATCGATAAACACGTATATATGTATTAAACAAAGATGTTTGAATACAATTAGAGGAACATAGATAACAGATTAATTAATTCGAGTAAAACTGTAATATCTGTGTTTCAAATTTTCTTTTTAGCCGGACTGTTACTAATTTGGATACATTTTAACAAGGAATGTAAAGCGATGAAGTCATTTGTTTTAATATTGAGCGGCTTTTGGTTTCAGTAAATTTTATGCCCTCACATGCTCAATTTTCGTATCAAACATATTTAATAGATATGTAGACCCTCTAACTAGGTTCATCTTTGTAATTTAGTGAATCAGGATGCTAATCTAGCGAGAATACTTATGGTCATCAAACATCCCTTTGAATACCAATCCTTAAGTGACACCAGTCGCTCTCATTAATATCATGTCGTATACATAACTGTCAGAGGGTTCCCCTCAGGATAACAGTAAATGTTATATACATTTTTTCATCATATACAAAGCATTACTAAAACTGACAGTATTAAAATTCTTCGGAGAGATTTCAAAATTCATATACAAACAAAGTTTGTAATTCATACATATTTTAGTCACTTCAACAAACTAATAATTCCTGAATGACCTGTCGAGTTATGATATTTAAGCTAGAGTCTGTAAATTGCTATAAGCTATCACTGTGAATAAAGCTATGTGCGATAAACGGAGATATGTCTGTAAAAGTAATATATTTTAGCTTTGAACATAGACTAACTTCAATGAGAGTACCACTGAGAACTAGTGAATACAGGATATCTGCTTCGTTCCCTTCTGGGACCTTTCAGCAGCACACATCCATGAACAATACTGAACAGTCCTAAATCAGAATGAAACAGCTCTCCAGTACTTTCTGGTTTTTCAAATGTAGTTTAATCGGAATTCGTAAGTGATCAAACTTGAATGCCTGTAAACTAACACTTTGAAATTAGTATTATTTGTTCTTCACACTGTAAGAACTACAAATTCCTCAGAATAATGAGTATCATCAACTCAGTGATGAAAATTTCGCTTACATTATTAACGATGACCTTTTTTTACATGTCTACTAAAAGTTAAGTAAAATTCACCTACACTTTTAAGACAATCAACCTAACAGTTCGTTGATGGACTATTGATCATTGAGTAAGCTTTGAACACTTTTGAAAACAAGGTAGCAGGATTTCGTGCCGTGATCTGTGAAATACGGGTGACTATCAACATCAATGATATTCATAAATGTTGAACTGTTAGCCAACAAATTCAGTCAGAATATAGGTCTTAAAAAAATAAACGTCTTTCATTCTGAAATTTTCCAACAAATAAACGTTAAATAAAGTGCGTCATTCCAAGTTTGATTTAATTATTTTCATGAAGGATTTCATCATGAGCTGACTTCAGTTAATACAATCATTAGAGAACCAGATGAAAACCTGTGAGTACTAGACATCTGTTTCGTACTAGTTTGGCTTAATGGTATACAAGCTCGTCTTGTAACCGAAAGGTCCTGGGTTCGAACACCGTTGGTGGGTGCGTACTGATGAAGAGTCCCAAACTAGGACGAAACAGCTGTCCAGTACTCCCAGAGGGTTTTCCAGTGGTTCTCTAACCAATGTCAGCTCGTGATGAAATCCTCCATGCAATCAAACAAAAAAATCCCTACAAACCCGATACTTGAAAATTAATTATTTTCATTAACAAACCAAACAATCAGGTTCATGTCGAATGAGAATATTACAAGCCCTTCTAGTATGAATGGTCATCTTATAGACTATGTATTGAAGTATGAAATAAAAGTGCAATAAGTGACTTAATAAGTTAGTGAATACCCTCAACACAGAAATTCTTCAGTCATATATATATTTGTATATTATGGGTCTTTGTAAAGATTTAGATAAACTTCAATGTAGATTTCACCCCGAACTAACATTGTTTAGAGATCACAGTCTCCATCTCTGCACCAGTGCTCACCCTCTACTATGGAGGAGGAGTTATCCGATTTTCCCTGGTTTTCAGTGATCTCTAACTGATATTGGATCATAATGAAGTCTGCACTGAAATCAATCTTAATCCTCACAACTCACCCACAATTTAAACATCATTCTCCAGCTGGATGTATGATATCTTGACGCTGTACTGGGAAGTAGTGACCAACGGTGCTCACCATGTAAAGGCGAAGTGGGTGTTCATCGGACTCATTAGTTGACAGTAGCGCTATTTCAGGAAATGTCAAAAGCTAGGATTCACTGTTCATTAAACTCCAACCCAGCAGCCAAATGACGGACGAACTATCCCCAAAAAGTGAAGCTCTTGGATCCTATCCCTGACTTAGTCGTAGGTGTGCACCATTGAAGAGTCGCAAATTAGGAGGAAACAATCGTCAGGTGCTCTTTGGTGTTCAACAGTCTCTGGGTGATGCTGGTTCCTGACAAATTCGTATATATACATATATATATATTTGATTTTATGAGCTGGATTTTCACACTTCTAGATTAACATAATTCTGTCAACAATATTTCACACAAATTTTTTTGCTGTTATATTTTTTTCAAGTGCCATTTTTTGGAAAAAATAATATTTATTTTCACTTTTAATAAAGGAAACTGACACTGTTCATTATTTTCTTTTTATAAGGATAAATTATAAAAGTATTAGTCAGAAAAGAGAAAAACAAATCCAGAAGTTCGTTTTTCATTTATTTGGAAATGCTTATTGTTATTATTATTATTTTCATACTGGTAAACATCATATGCCTAATGTGTAAGTTTGTTTTTTCAAACTGTGAAATCTGAGCTTGATTTGAACATCAAAACTGACAGTGTTGAATGAAAGTAAAAGATGAACTTCTGTTGATAAGAAATTTACCCACAAAAAAAAAGAATGGCTGTGTTTGCCAGTTATCATTTTTTTAAAGAACAAGGAAATTCAAGTCAGATGAGGTTTAGTTTATTGTTATTCCTTGGGTTATAAGTGGAACACAGAGATTCAATAGTACATCTCCACTTTATTCTGTTTTCCACGAAGTCTTTTCTAGCTGGTTCCACGATTGTCCCTAAATTTTTATCTTCTCTGGTATAATCGCCACCATGTCACACATGGATGCCTAACTCGTCATTTCTCATTCAGGCCTTATGCGCCCTATTATTCAACGATCTCCTCAGCGTGTGTCCAATCCATCCCCATTTTCTCTGGCATATTTGTTGAGCAGTAGCTTTCTGGTTGTCTCATTGCCTGGCAGAGCTCCTTGTTGTTAATCTTTTCTGCTTGGCCATCTGATCTTCATTTTGGAGCAAAGGTAGTTGTTGGTGAAAGTCTGCAGCTTTTTTTGAATGCTTTAGATAAGATGCGTGTGAAGTATATGACTCATATAGAAGAAATAACTGAACTTTGATGTTGGAGACAAGCAAGGAGACAAGCGAAGTGATCTTGTGGGTATTGCGTTTGTCATATTCTCATCCTGAGCTTATTTGCCTCTTAAATTGTCAGCCTGTTTCCATAACAAACTCTACTTGCAATAAACATGGTCATTCTTTATTCACTAGAATGTAATGCAGTGGTAATCCTTGGAGAGCCTCCTAGATTTTACTTTATTCTTTATACAGTATCGTGACTGATTTAAAGTTCACTCCACCTGTTAAACGGAACAGTTCAAAGGAACATTAGAAATGTACAAAACAGTTGGTCCTTGTTATCTGTGAGTAGGTTTACTAGTCACTCATCAGATACTTTGGTTGCATGACAAAAACTGTTTTCAGTTAATCTGATCCCAGATTTTCCTAACTCTGTAAAACTTCAAGCTATTCAGTAATTAAGATATCATAGAAACTCCGTTTAAAAGCTTATAGGAAAAGATATTTAAATAATTCAGTGAAGAGATTTCATTTAATACACCCTTAAAGAGTAGATTGAAATAGAATTATTTTTGTTTACCCGAATAACTGATCTAGAACTTCGGATTGACCTAAAGTTAATACTCGTTAATACTTAAAAGAAATGTTAGACTCATATTATGTAACACAAAAGTAAACAACTTTAAAAATATAGGTCGAACATCTAAAATTACCTGCAAATTAGAAAGGAAAGTTAAATGATGAGAAATTTTCGATAATTAACATACATACAGCATAGCAGAAGCGCAAAGAGATAATTTAACGTCACGATAAGAAAAAAGAACTGCCTTCATTTCTTCTTTGAATGCATCACGAAAGATTGCAGTTGTAAATCCTCGGTGTTTCACTCGTATCGTATTACCCTATTCACATTAATTCTAAAATTCCAGCCTAGATGCAGCAAGATGTTCTGAGTTTTTAAGATACTAAACAACAAGGCTGTGTATTGATCTGGTTGTATTCTTAATATATAAACTGTAAAGCATTCACAACCAGTTTGCCAAGTGATACTTCATCGTAGTTCATGTTTTCGTCTGAACTAATGCAATCAAGTTTATTGATACAGAATTGAGACAGTCAGAGGTTAACACGTTTCAGAAGTGAGAAATACCGGTGAAACTTAAAACAGGGGGTATACAAGTATTGGTTTATAGGAATTTGGTTGATTGGTTACAGGATTTCATCATG